TTCGTGGGTTTTGTTATTATTGTTGGCAGCATTTGAGGCGCCATGGCGTCGAGACAACAGGCGTTTCAGCTTTGGCTTTGGCTCTTTTGGCTTCTTTAGACTCGTTTGGCTCTTTTCGCTGTTTGGCTTGCTGGGAGTGGGCGCAAAAGGTTTTCTCGCTCGAACTTTGTTACAGCACAGCTTTCGACTTATTTTTGTGGCGAACTCCACTCATTCACAAGGAACGGCGCTTGCATCACGTATACGCCATGTCACACTCGCACTCGCAGTCGACATCTATCTCTCTCTCTCTCTCTCTCTCTCTCTCCATCTCTCTCCATCTATTTATTTCTCTCTCTCTCGCTGTCTCTTGCCCAGTCGACAAAAATAGCAAATAGCAATTGCATACACACACACACACATACACCTAGCTCATTCTCCTCCTGCCTGCACACTCAACAGCTCTGCCGCGCCCTCCCGGCCGCCCCTTGACTTACCACGACTTTGGATACGCTACTCAGCTGCGACTTGGCAACAGCCAAATCCTTTTTATGCTTTTGATTTTTTGACACTCGACGTGTTGTTGTTCTTGCGCTTGTTGTTTGTTTGTCATAGTTGTAGCTGTTGTTGTTGAGTGTCTTAGTGTCAACATGCGTTGATTCTCTCAAGCTTATGTCCTGGCTTATGTGCCAGTTAGTCACAGGATGTAGCAACTTGGTACAGTTGTGTCTTATGCATGTAAGCTGCTCGCCGTCGATCTGTACGTGATTTGCATGCGGGCATCATCTCTCTGTTGGCTAAAGATTTATTGAACCTGTCCCGCTTATGGAACTCTGTCAAACTTCTTTGTCCAATTTGCATAAGCTGCAGTCATACTTATCGATGCAGCTCGGATTGCCTTTCAAGCCAGTTTCCAATTCCCAAGTTTGCACAAATCTATTTGAATAAATAGAGGGAAACGAGAGAAAATTCAAGTTTTAAGTGCTGCAGCATTCTTGTGCATAAGAGTCTAAAGTTGATTTAGCTGTCGGAAGAACTTTCTGCTTTTTATGCGCCTCTTAAGGGACAACAAATAAACGCGCCAGCTGCAAATCAGACACTTAAAAAGTTCTTATTATTATAGTAATTATTTTAAGGACTACCTTTGACAGCAATAGCTGAGAAAATGCTGAGGAAATCTATAAATTGAATAGGCTTGTTGGAGAATAAATTCTTTCTTCTATTTGCTTTGATAGAGATATTTTATTACGTATGCTGAAGCAGCTTTTTTACTATTCATTAAAATTGAATTTTTTAATTAGAACTGTTTTACAAATATATTTTATAATATGCGTTTTATATGTCAAAACTTTAAATACTGTACAATTTTCTTAGTCTAATTTTGACGCCTCCAGTTTTTCAATTTTCTCTGATAAAAAATATTCATTTCGCTGCAGTAACTAATTCACTTCAATAAAAATAAAATGAATTCCTTCTAGATAAAGAATATATTGATTTAAAATATTTTAAGGCTTTTTTATGATACTTTATGATACTTTATATAAATTTATGTTGGATCTTAGCCTGTAAATTTAAATTAATTTTAAAATATTTATTACATAACACAGATGATGTGGCATTAAAACTTACCTAAATTTATAATTAATTATAATTTTAAAATTAATTGTTAAGCATTCAATTATTTCTTAAATTGTAGAACTTTATTTATTATCTATTTTTTGGTAAATTAATTTTTGCGAAATATTCTTGAGTTTTGAATAAGTTTTATTTAAAGAAAATAATTGAAATCTTTCAAATTGAATTAGTAATACAAAGTGTCCGCATTAGAGTTTCATCAGGAAATAATAGTTAATGGCAAACTGGCAGCAGAATGAGATATAAATGATATTATTGTTGGCTTAAATCCAGCTTACAGTTTTATAAACAAGGGAAAACTGTCAAATATAGTAAGCATTATTTTTACCTTTTCCTTACAATTGAAAACAACAATTGCCTTGACAACATTTGTTGGCCAACAGTAGGCGCATGTTGGGAAATTGTAACTGAAACAAAAATGTAAATGAAAAGCGTCGAATTGCAGCAATTGCAGCTGCAGCCCAACTAAAACTGCATAGGAACTTGTGTGCGCCTATTTCGATTTATTGCACAAACGTTGGCAGCTCGAGGTGTGGGCGTGCACGGGGTGGGCAAGCACAAAAATCAATTTAAAGTTCAATAGCCTCGCTTGGCCCATAAGCAGGCGACATACAGGAAAGAAGAAGCGAAGAGGAAGGAGAAAGAGAAGCAACAAAAAACAAAAAACAAAAACATGGCAAATGGACTGGGAAAGAACAGGCAAGAAGCACGTCCAAAAATTTGTAGCCATGTTGCAAGTTGCAAGTTGCAAGTTGTGCACCCACTCAAGCGCAGCACCGCCTGCTCTCTCTCTCTCTCTCTTTCACTGTCTCTTGCTGCCGCATAGTTATTTGTGTGTGAAATTAAGTTCAAAGTACAAAATGTGGGTTGTCGACAACTGCAATGGCTTGGCTCGACGGGCGCAACTGCAATATAAATGGCACAATGGCTGCAGCGACAGCAGTTAGCATTAGAATGGTCAGCCACAAACTGAGTGAGTGCGACAGAGAGAGGGCGACAAAACAAGAAACCCATAAAACTAATGGGCGACGCACATAAAAACTGTTTTGGGTCAACGCTGCGTATACGCAATGCGCCTTAATTCATGCATATGCAAATGGCGTGCCGCAGCTGCAATCGAGACATGTGAAATCAGCATAAATATGAGCAGTTAGCTGGCGTGCGAGAGTGGGCGTGGCTGTTGCAGCCAAACGTGCCCAAGTATCCATTGGCGCAATTAAATGCGATGGCGGCGACCGCGAAGCGCATTGATAAATGGCAATCGGCGACGCCGCTGGTGGCGACATTGTCATCGCCATCGCCATCATCATCATCATCATTATCATCATCGTCGTTGTCGTTTCGGGCTCTTCAAAATGCAAATGGCTCTTTGGCACGCCAGGGACTTTGGTTCTGCGTTCCTCTCATCCCATTCCAGCCCATCCAAAGTTCCGTCCGATGTGCCTAACGAGGCGTTGGGCGTCACAACTTTTTGCACCTGCCTCTCATCAATTGATTTCTTGCTGACAGCAGACAACTGAGAACATGATGCCGACTTCGTTTGGCAGACAGTCTTACACACACACACACACACACGCACACACAGAGAGAGAACTAGACAGCGAGACAGGCAACTGCTGAGGGCCCCGGCTAGAAGGGGCTTGGGCCACCAGCTGAGCTTGGGGTTGCGCCTGCTAAACAATTGAGTGTCAAGTTGCGCGCATTGCTTATGCACTTTTTGCTGCGCTTGTTGTTGCCTTTGTAATGTGCATTAATGCGCTGCAAGGTGATTCAGCAGATATGCAACTGCAAATGGGGAGTCGCAATTTTATTTTGTATGCCTCAGCGTTGACAACTTGAGTAGAGCTCGGGACTTGTGGCTGACAAGTGCTGAAGGGCAGGCACTTAGTTAGCATTCTTGTGCTTCTGTATGTATAGGTGTGTGTGTGTGTGTGTGTGTGCGTGTGTGTGTGTGTGAGTGTGTGTGCCAGGCACTTGAATCGTGCCACATTAATGAATGGGCCGGGTTGTAAACTACAGCTGTCATGACGGGTGTGTAAAAGTGTTGCCTACTTTTGAGCGCCTGTGAATGAAATCTGCAAATGCTGCACATATTTCAACTGTCATCCAGCATATCGTATTACATACTTATTTCTATGCAGTTACTACTAAAGGAGTAAGAAGAGGAGTAAAAGCAGGCAGGCTCTATTTGCGAGGGAATTTGCAAGAGTTAAGTTGTCGTATCATTTATTATTTTGTTAAATTCTTGCCTAAAGCCTATTCGCCAAAATAAATATATATATTCGCAACTTCGCTGACCAAAAACAATCGAGTTAACAAAAATGCCTGCCAAAAAATCAACAAAAACAATTGATACAAAATGTTTATCAAATAAATATCCTGTTAACAGCATCATTTAGATCAAAACACACACACACACTCACATACACACAGCTGTGTTGTCGAATGAATTTCATTTGGTAAAATTGTCTATGTGCAAGACAACAATGTGCCAACAATCCATGTGCAGACAGAGCGGGCAAAAAGCGCAGTAACATTTTTTCCAATCGCTGGTATAAAAATAGCGCAGCTAAATTGCAAAAACTAGCGTGTAAAGGCAGTGGAAGGGTGGAGGAGGGGCGGACTATAGGTGGGGGCAAACCTATATGGGCAACTTCAACAAATCTCAATACGCAAACATGTAGCCAGGAGCAACAATAACAATGCCAACAAAAACAACAAGTGCACACATGTGTGCGAGTGTCTGCATGTGTGTATGTGTGCATGTATGTGCATGGCAGAATGGCTGAAACTAAACCGGAGGCGCCAACATGTCCTACAAGTGATTTATTTTTATGTATTTGTTTGTAGAGCGCAAAAAAAAAGAAACTGTCGAGAAATGCCACAAAAAATAAAGTTTTTCTCTTTGTTGTTGTTGTTTTTGTTGTTGCTGCTGCTGCTGAGTCGGTGCAAGCGCCGGCTGATTCGCCTATCCTGTAAACGGCGCAATGGATACCCAGCCAGCAAGGATTGTAGTAAAGTACCAAACGTGCAACTATTTATAACAGCGTGCCCCGCTAAGCGGCAACATCAACAGAAAGACAGTCGAAGAGAGAGAGAGAGAGAGAGAGGGAGAGCGACAGAAAGAGAATGGGGACAGCGGAAAGGCAAGCCAAATGGCATAGCATACTTTTATGCGGGCGTCGTTGCAACTTGCAACATTTAGACGCAAATCATGGCGGACATTAGCGTGCGCAAAGTTTTGCCACGCAGGGCAGGTTGAACGATTTATGTGAAAAGTTGTTACCTGATTTGGCTTGCCAGCCATTATGCATAAAAAGTCTTTGGTCCAAGTTAGCAACCTGTTTCATTTTCCGCATATTTCCACTTCTTCTTCCACTTTGCAGAATGCCCCACCGCAATGGATGGCATGGAGCGGTTCGCTTGCCCCACACCGGATCTGCAGGGACGCTATCGTTGCATAGATGACCATGTGTTATGCGATGGCTTCATCGATTGTCCGGAGGGCGAGGATGAGGACAGAAGATCCTGCATGTTCTACAAGACGGTAAGCATAGCAACCTATCATATCGTATGCCAACTTCAATTGGGGTTTTTCCTCTCTCATTATGATTCATGTTATTTAATCGTATTTTTCCCCAATTCTGTCTTTTGTTCCGTTGCAGACGAAAGCTCATTTGGATGTGTTAGCGGATGCGTTACTACGCTGGGCGCGGGGGCGTTAAGTCCACATAATACACACTCACACAAGCACACACAAACACATGATAGAAGAAACGACACCTAGATAACCCACGTTAAACATAAATTACAATTAGGTTTATGCTACATATTTAACATTAAGTTTAAACATGAACAGACATAACACACACACACACACACACACATACACACATATTAACCACCCCGCCTGCCCACACATCCAAAAGTTATAAAAATAGAAGAAAATGCTAAGTTGTGGCATGTAAAAATTCCAAGTAAAAAGAAAAACCTACTAATAATGGCAACAAATATATATATGAAAAAAGGTATGATTTGTATTATTATTACACTATTAAAAATTAAAGACAAACATAAAAAATTAAAAATCTACAAATCAAGCAGCTATTCAGAAACAAAAAATAATAAGAAAACAAAATAAATTTACCAAAATGGCGTTAAAATTTCGAAAAGTAAAAAAACAATAATGGAAAAATGTCGTCTTTTTATTATTGTTTTGCGCATTAAATCGGGCCTAAGCTATTTTTAGTATTTATTAAAAAGTATTCACATATATATTTAAAAATTGAATATATATGAATATATATATATATATATATATATATATATATATATATATA